GGGGGCGGGAGGGGGGGTTGGGGGTTTTAAACGGGGGCGGACGCGGTTTTTTTGAGGCCGGAAAACCCTAAACCCTAATTCTAAACCCTAAACCCTAAACCCTAAACCCTAGGCGCGGGGGAGAGAGCAGGCGGGGTGGTGATCGGCTGGGGGCAGGGGGAGCGCGAAGGGCAGGAAGCTCGGGGATCTAGGGTTTGGGTCGAGGGTTTAGGGTTTAGGGTTTAGGGTTTGGGGTTTAGGGTTTAGGGTTTAGGGTTTAGGGTTTGCTGCAGGAGACACGAAGCTGGAGTGCTTCATCTGCGGAGTTAAAAATATCCTGCAGCTGGGCATGCTGGTGTCGGAGGCGCAGGGGGCGCTGGTCATTGTGTGCAGGTGCGCGAGGGTTTAGGGTTTAGGGTTTAGGGTTTAGGGTTTCGGGTTTAGGGTTTAGGGTTTGGGGTTTGTTTGCGCAGAGACCGCTGCTACGCCAGCGGCATTCTCGAAGAAAATGGATGGGACTCTTCGGCCTGGAGCCCGTTGATTGAAAACAAAGCTTTGGCGCACTGGCTCGTCAGGGTAATTAGGGTTTAGGGTTTAGGGTTTAGGGTTTAGGGTTTAGGGTTTAGGGTTTGGGGTTTTCGGGTAGGGGCGAGGGCGCAAGGCTCAGGCCTGGGGTTTAGAGTTTAGGGTTTGGAGTCTAGGGTTAAGCGCCCAGCGCAGAAACGAGGCCGCAGGCCGCAGGGGCTAGGGTTTAGGGTTTAGGGTTTAGGGTTTAGGGTTTAGGGTTTAGGGTTTGCAGCCGCTGACGGACGCGGAGAAGATCTCGGCAATGCCAATCAGCAAAGAAGAAATGCAGCAGCTGGAAGAGTTTTGGGCGAGGTATGGAGACGCCACAGTTGACGACGTCCGCAGCGAAGGTAAACCCTAAACCCTAAACCCTAAACCCTAAACCCTAAACCCTAAACCCTAAACCCTAGGGCTGCGTGGCGGCTGCGGCGCGCGCGCGGCTGCGGGCCTGGGGCTCCGGAGCGGGGCGGGGCTGCGCAGCAGCTGCAGCGCCCGCAAACCCCAACCCCAAACCCTAAACCCTAAACCCTAAACCCTAAACCCTAAACCCTTGCTGCTGCGTCCAGGCGCTGAGCCGCTGCCCACCTGCGAACTCAGCTACCCCGACGGCATTTCTTACCAAAGGGTTTACGCGCCTCTAATTGCTGCAGAAGCAGACATTGAGAGACGCAGGTGCCAGAACGAAGTTGCGGTCAGCTGCTGCTGCTGCTGCTGCTGCTGCTGCTGCTGCTGCTGCTGCTGCTGCTCACCTGCTGGCGGTGCTGCTGCTGATGATGGCTGTGGAAGTCCCGGCGCTGACAGCGTCGCCGCGCTGCTCCCGCTTGCCCTGCTGCTGCTTCTGCTGCCGCAACCCTGCTGCTGCTGCTGCCGCAACCCTGCTGCTGCTGCTGCTGCTGCTGCTGCTGCTGCTGCTGCTGCTGGTCGTCTGCGGGAGGCGGATCTGCGGGGCGGCGTCTGCCCGCGCCGCGAGGCCGGCCGAGCGCATCAAATGAATAAAATAATAAATAAATAAATAATTAAATTAAATTAATTAAATTAATTAAATTAATTAAATGCCTACTGCATGCACGCAGGGAGGCCCCTGGGACGACCCCACGCCGCGTACGTACACCGTGCAGTGTATCTGGAACCCCTGCGCCTTCCGCAGGATGTCTGCTGCACTTGACGCTTTTGCTGCTGAAGAAAAAGCAATTTCTCCTTTGCTTTTCGAGGCTTTTCTCGGAAACGCAGTCCCTTCCCACAAGCTCGAGTCCGCCTCCTGCTGCTGCTGCTGCTGCTGCTGCTGCTGCTGCTGCTGCACCTCGAGACGCTCGTTCCGGCGATGTGCTTGGTGCTGGGGGGGCGCGCTGCTGCTGCTGCTGCTGCTGCTGCTCGAGACGCTCGTTCCGGCGATGTGCTTGGTGCTGGGGTGCGCGCTGCTGCTGCTGCTGCTGCTGCTGCTGCTGCTCGAGACGCTCGTTCCGGCGATGTGCTTGGTGCTGGGGGGCGCGCTGCTGCTGCTGCTGCTGCTGCTGCTGCTGCTGGAGACGCCCATTTCGGCGATGTGCCTGGTGCTGGGGGTGCTGGGGCCGCGCTGCTGCTGCTGCTGCTGCTGCTGCTGCTGCTGCTGCTGATGGCGATGTGCCTGGTGCTGGTGGTGGTCGTGGTTGGGGTGCTGCTGCTGTTGCTGCTACTGCTGGTTGTGATTCTGGTGTTGTTGTTGGTGCTTAAGGCGCTGCTGCTGCTGCTGCCTGTGCTGCTGCTGCTGCTGCTGCTGTGGTGCTGCTCATGGTGCTGCTGCTGCTGCTGATGGTGGCGATGCGAGTGGAGTTGCTGTTGGTGCTTATAACGCTCTGCTGCTGCTGTTGCTGCTGCTGCTGCTGCTGGCTATGGTGATGCGCTGTGGGCTCTTGCTGCTGCTGCTGCTGTTGCTGCTGCTGCTGCTGCTTGATTTGCTGACGCACTTCTGCTGCTGCTGCTGCTGCTGGCTGCAGCGCACCTCTGCTGCTGCTGCTGCGCTCGTTCTGGCTGTTTTTTTCAGCTCTTTCTCCCCATTTGCAGCAAATGATTTATTTATTTATTTATTTATTTATTTATTTATTTATTTATTTATTTATTTATTTATTATTTGCCTTTTAGCGTCCCCGTGCCGGCCAATTTGTCTTCGCCGTTTCCCTTCCCCCTCAACCACAGCCAAATCGAAGCCATTCGCTTCGCGCTGCAGCACCCCATAACTTTAATTCAGGTAATAATAAATAAATAAATAAATAATAAATAAATAAATAAATAAATAATAAATAAATAAATAAATAAATAAATAAATAATAAATAAATAAATAATAAATAAATAAATAAATAATTAATTAATGGGGCAAGAAGTGGCTGGTTTGCTTTGCTGCTGCTTTGCTGCTGCAAACGCGCCCCCATATCTTCTCCCGCGAAATTTGAACAAAAAAATAAAAACAAATAAAAAACAAATAAATAATAAATAAATAAATAAATAAATAATTAATTAATTAATATTTATTTCTTTATTTATTTATTTATTTATTTATTTATTTATTTATTTATTTATTTATTTGTTT